ATATATCCGTTTTTATAATAATAGATCCTCTGGGGGATCGATTTATCTTAGAGAGTTAAATGCAAGTGAATGTACATAGATATATAAATCCTTAATAAATCCGTTGAGAGAAAAATAGATCTGCTGAGAGAAAAATAAATCCGCTGGAGGATCGAATTACCTTAGAGAGTTAAATGCAAGTGAATGTACATACATATATAAATCCTTAATAGATCCGTTGAGAGAAAAATAGATCCGCTGGGGAATCGATTCATCCTAGAGTGTTAAATGCAAGTGAATGTACATAGATATATAAATCCTTAATAGATCCGCTGACATTAAAATAATCCGCTAGGACATTATTTGTTCTGATAGGTGCTAGAACAGTTTCTGTTATAAAATAATATTGTTAGAATAAATCCGTTTGATAAAATCGATCCGAGGATAGTTGCCATTGATATATATATAGATTTATATGATTTATAAGAGCATTTTTCCACGTTATACCACATGGAGAAAAGATCCCGGATTTTTTAAAAGATCTAATAAATCCCAAAAAAATAATTCCCGGTAGCCCCTCGTTGAGACACACTGGTCATTAAACTTAGCAGTTCCAGGCCACTTTCAGAATTATCTAAAAAAGATTAAAGTCTCTATTGTCCGTTGTAATCTGTCCTACGCTGCGTGGGCATGGGGCTTTATGAATTTAATCTATACTAGTGCCAAATTCCGTTCTCATCTAGTCCCCGCCGAAGAGTTTGCTCATCTTTATGCTTACAGTCGTAAAATGTAAACTACGAGTTGTTTTGGTAGAATATTCATGAAAACTTGCAGAATGATAATTATATGTGTATTGGGGTAGCATTTGTATGAAGAAAATGCTAATGCTGTTATGTTAGGATTAACAAAAAATATAGTGCTTTTTCCATAGTTAAAAGTTGTTAATGCAATCCCTGTGAGATTAATGTGAAACACGACGGAACTCCTTTGTTGGAACCCGTCTACCACGGTCTGTGAATCTTTGCAGCTATTCTGTCACTCTCTGCAATCATATATGGAGCCTTTCGGCCATGATCTGTGATGGCCTGTAGAGCTCTTTAGCACGGCCTAGGCCTGTATTATGATTTATGAACTCTCTAGAGACCATCACAGACCGTAACATAGAAATTAATTAGTTATTTAATTAAATAATTAATTAATTTCTCGGCCACGGTCTGTGGGATGAAGGAGGGACTTTGGGTCCCAATTTCTACCCTGTATACTTCAATACTTCTTTTAAATCGTGTTTCACAACAGCATATAGAACCGTGTTAAGTCATTCGATGCTAATCCAAAGTTGACAGCGCTAGATAATAATATACTTACGCTCAATATATATTTTTTTCAATGAGCGACGATGGTTGCGTTTTGATTGATGGCGAATCGTATTTCGTAAACATTTAAGAATGGCTTTATCGCTTTCTTTCCCAGTCAGGTTTTTTCTCAACGCTTGCACCTCTTTTGTTGTGTGTTGTTTGTAGAGTCCTGCGGGAACAACTTTTATTGTTCCAGTTTCCCGTCCCGGTTCCCGTAAAATAAAATTTTTGTTCCCGTTCCTGTAATGCATTTGTAACTTCTATAGCCATTCCATTGTGTTTGATTAAAATGCCTGTTTTTGTACTCCATGCTGGATGACCGCGACACCAGGCGTTTCACAATGTCTCATGAGATATATTTAGAATAAATTTACGGTTGGATATTCGTCTGATGAATCAAAGAGCTAGATTTCTCACTTACAGCCAATTTACTTTCTTTCGTTGAGCTTTGTATATACCAAATTTTAAACATGCTAATAACAAAGCCACCTAAATCAACTTTATCCAAGGTTGAAATTCAAGTATTAGTAATATTAAATGATCCATCAGTTTTGTTTTGCAAAACCAGCAAATGTTAGAAGTGAAGTTTGGACAAACTATTCACAAGTTTATTATAAAAATGAAGGTCTTGATTATATAATATTTTCACAATGTAAAGTGGTGTTAAAATGGATAAGTGAAAATAGTACTAGAGTTATGAGTCATCATACTTGTACAAAGCAAAAATCTACCTCAACTACCCCAGTACGACAACGAACAATTTCTTCGTATTGTCGACAATCGTCTTTATCGAAAGAATGCCCTGTAATTCAAAAGCGTATTACAGAAGCATGTGCAATTTAATGACGAGTCAATAAACTTTTCTTTTTTTGATACATATTTGCATTTTTTCTGTTAATTACATGTCAAACGGCTAATGTAGATAAAAGAGTACTCTATAAATATGTATGTATTTCAACTCATATACGTAGATCTGATAAAAAAAAACTTTCGGGAATGCCAATTTATAGTGATGTTCCCGTTTCCTGTGTTCCCGGGCAAAAGTCTTCAAGGGAAAAAGTCGTTCCCGCAGGACTCTAGTTGTTTGTCAGTTACTTCGTATGACGGATTTCACTTCATGATTAATGAAACTTTTTCACTACCAAATGAAACTGCGTAAGAGTATGGAAATAGGAAAGGCAGAAAAGAGAACCAATGTCTTGAGTGAGTGTTTCAAAAGAATAATAATGACTATATTGATTTCTCACATTGGGAAGCTTCTCAGAGTATGCAGCTTGCTTTATTTTTCAAATACATCAGATACACTTTGCTGCATTCACTATGAAAATGCTGTCCTCTGATTTTATTTCTTCGCTTCATATATTTCATTCGTTCTTCGCATGAACAAAACAAAGAATCTGAATGAAAAAAACAAGTTGGCAACCGATGAATGAAAGAAACACAACCAATAATATTATAAATATGCTCGATTCATTTCACCAAAACAAAATACACTGTAGAATGAAAATCTGTTAGCATAATCACAGCGGAATTAAAGATGTGAAACTATCTAACTATTGTTGTACTATTGTCTGAAAATTAGTGCTTTTCTGGAACTCCCATATTTTGAGAGTGTAAGTGTGGATTGATAACTATTTAACTGGTGCTCACACCCACATCCTCCACTATAGTAAACCATATGATTCGGAATGGGCATCCATACATTCACTCCTACAAAGTCCTATTGGATTCCCAAATGCAGTACCTCTATGGGAATTTGGTGGATTTTTGGTGGAAAATCGTGGAAAACTGTCGGAAATTGTTGCTACTTACAAAGAACAATGATATTTTCCATCGGATCCTATGAAATTCTACAGAACTCAACTATGAGCTTTCTTCATCTGGCTCCATAGTACATCACATAATGTGAATGATATTAATATGTATCTGATTCATTATTCATATAAAACTTATATATACACTAGTCGGCGATCTTGACTTCGATCTGTTCAGATTCTTGTTTTTCTTGAACATCAAACAAGGTTCTTTTATCATTCCTTCTGTACAAGATTCTTGCCTGAAAAAACAGATTTTGTCTTTCTGGCAAGATTCGTGTAGACAGAATCTTGGCTGGTGCGGTAAGAAATATTTGGTCAGGCAAAATTCTTGTGTTCTTGCAATTCTTACATGATTCTTGTTTTCTTGCTTTTCTGGTATGATTCTTGTTTCTTGCCATTTTGGCAAGATTGCTGCTTTCTTACAATTCTTGCCATTTTGACAACATCCTTGTAATACAAATGAATTTCATTTAGGCATCCATACGGTTACCTCCTTTCGGCCCTATTTTATTTTAATTTCGAATTAAAAAAAATACAAAAAATTACATTACGTGTGCAAGGAAATATACAATAAGTTCATATCGCGTGCAAAACAATTAAGAAAAATACATAAAAAATACACGAAAAACAATTGAACAAAACAATCTATTCAAAAAATACATTTGTAATAGTTCGCTAGCATCATCTAGAGAAAAAAAGATATAATGTTCAAACTTCTGTATATTTATAAGTATATATACAGAAAACATCACGTGATATTTTTCTTTAAGATAGGATAAGAATCGTTGAAAGAAAAATAAAAAGAAACTTGCCTGAATTTCAAGAAATTTGAAATATCTTGTAATTCACTCCAGATTCATATTTTTCTGATGAATCCGACAAGATTTATCTCATCTTAAACTTCAGGCAAGATTCTTGTCTGAATTTCAAAAATTCTTGAATATCTTGCGATTCTTACCTGATTCTTATTTATCTGATCAGTCAGACAAGATTGTGTTTTACTTGAATAACAGGCAAGAATCT